GGACGAGATTGCAAAAGAAATTAATTAATATAAAAATCAACGCGAAAATATATTTCAACAACGCCCAGAATGCGGATATTAATTGCGTTACGTTGAAAAAATATAATTACTACTAAAATATAATTAATTTGCTCCGCACGAAATAACGCAGTTTTTCAATGAGAAAAAAAGGAGAGAAGAATTTAGTCGGATTTTTATTATATTCGAGTTTGTTGCATTTAACTATGTATTAAATCGTATGTAATTTTCAATAATCTCCACGTCTCATATATCGTCATTTTATTAAACGTTATTTTATTATCCACTTTACACATCATGATTTAATCATCTAGATGACGGCACATTGCATTCTCGTAGCGAATTGACAGGATCAGCATAGTCAGCGATATAGAGTAATGAAAACTTGTGTTAATATTGAATAATAAAATCAAGGAACCATGAATTCTCTTCGTTATATAAATTAGAACGACTAAAGTAGCGAGGTTTACACGGGACGTCGTAAACGTGCTCAAAAGCGCTTTCCAAAAAGGAGGAAGTTCGCGATTAAGACTTAAGTCACTGCTTTGTCGAGGGATTTGCGGCTACACCTGCATCCACCACGCACGCTACATCTGCAGTTCACTGATCGATCGATAACCGATATCTAAAGGTGAGAGCGCGAGAGATGGAGAAGGATATGAGAACATAAACTTTCCTACGTGCAGAGAATGCAGAAATTATAACACACAGGCGTTTTCTATTCAATTATCTATTACACTGTTCAATAAAAAAAATTTACCGAAACGAGACTAGACGGTTCTTATAATTTTTTTAATGCTGAATACGAATCTGGTCTCCAAATAATTCCATCACGTCACAATTTTGAGAAATTTTTAATTAACCTTGCAAAAAGGTTTTTTTCACGAACTTTGTTATATTATAACTATGCAATATGTGACGTGCAAGAGAAGTTTCATTGCAATCAAAATAAAATATATTGTTAAGACTTTCAACCCTCAAAAGAAATTTTTGATGTCGATTATGGTTAATAAGATATCCATGATTAAATATGAGCTGTGTTGCGAAAGTTAACCATACTAAATAGCTTTTAAAGGGATTTTGTAGATCATTGAATACGAATTCAATGTCAAAATTGTGTGTGGTGGGTGTGTGTCAAATTCAAAATGATATTCAATATGGGGATGTCAAAATTGAAAAAACATTTTTTATATAAAAGTCCCAACAACATATACTTTATTTTGATTGCAATAAAACTTCTTCAGCACGTCACATATTGTAGTTATAATATGACGAAGTTCATAAAAATAGCCCTTTTTGCAACTTTAATTAAAACTTTCTCAAAATTGTAATAATGGAGCAATTTGAAAACCGAATTCGTATTCAGCATCCAAAAAATTATAAGAACAGACTAGGTTCCGATGAAAAAGTCATTTTTCGTTGAACAGTGTTATCATTATCATATCGATAATCATAGATCGTTATCATATTTTGTTTATTTTGATTACTTGTCATATATAATAATTATATTTATGTAGAATTTAAAATTATTTCTCGAGAATTATTTGACTATTTCAAATGTCAGATTTATTAATAAATTTTAAATTAAATAAGAGATAAATAAGAATGCAAGATGATATAAAATATTTAAAATATTAGCTTTTCTCTAAAGAAAATTATCTATTGTGACGATAATCTCTGACGCCAGAATATAGATTATAGATATTATATCGTGTTTTCTTTATCGAAATATCGTGTTTTCTTATCGAAATAAAGACGCATGTGAGGAAGTAAAAGTGAACGCTGATTATTCTATTAGAGATTAAGGATAATACTTGTAACTTGAAAGTGTTAGTTTTAATTATGATGTGAAATAAGATTAGTATATGAATAAAAATAAATATTACGGATAATTGCCAATCTCATCGTTTGAGAAAAATTACTCTGTAATACATAATAATACATTATTGAGTGTAACAGAATCTAGGTTGTCATTCAAATAGAATACACTCAATCGGATGAAAGCGAAGATCACACGAATAAAGTGTCACATTTGTCCATGAATCTGATTAACATTGGTCATTTGTATAAAACAAGATGAGCAAATCGAGAAAAGTGGACGTCGTTAAGTAAAACCGGCTCTTTCTAGAAATCAAACCTGACATGAATAATAAAGCAAATGACAAGAATAATATTCATTGAAATTATTCTTTAAATAATGAATAACTTAATTACTTTTTTCTCTCTTTCTGTCTTTATATCTCTATAATTTCTTTATACTTTCTTTATTTTTACTCACTTGTAATAATCAGTGTAAACTATGTTAAAACAACGTAAAAAAATATATTCCATCATATAAACACAAAATTTTTAATATTTGCTGCATTATAATTTTATTTATTAATATGATAATAAATCTCGTGTAAAAGAATCGCTTTAGTTTAGTTTTCAATGCGTAAAATTATATCATGTTTTTTTATTTTAGAAAAGATGTTCTTTCTCCCGTGCAAGTTAAAATTAAAAAGTACATATCTGTGTTTCTCCCTTTTGCTATTGAAAATGCATAATAAAATGCGCTTAAACTTTTTTTAGAATAAGCGCTTTTCATATGAGTGAAACTGGCATCTTAAGATACTCGGAGGTGCAGAATCTCTTTGAAATATGCTGCAAAGGAGATCCTGTGCTTTCTCGCAGGTAAATATGCAAGCAATAGCACATTGTGCGGATGCAGTGCGGTCCCGCATTGCGAGAATATATTTTCACCGACCGTCCCGATAAGTCGGTGATTCTTATCTCCTGTATTCAAAGCCGTTCGTAAAAAGCTTGTAAAATTTCTCGTCACATGTGACTTGCCAGTCCGCTCGACAAGAGCGATATTTGACGGAGAAAATTGCGATCATTGATTTTGTGTCGCGGAAATATATAGGTTGGCCGACCGTAAACGGAGTGAAAGCTCTAATTAGCGGGCGGAGAGAGCTTTCACCCGCCTGCTTTTCAGAAATCGGTATTTTACCGTGTAATCGCCTGACAATACATTTCGCTTGTTTAACAAATGTTTAACGATTGAAGTGGTGTCAAAAATCGCTGACGCTATTCTAGCATTATTAAACTGCAAACGCGAAGATTACACGCGGTTATATTCTCCCTGAACGCAATAACCGGTATTTAATTAAAGTAGTTTATGAAAGATGACGCATTTATGAAAGAATGACGCATTACGACGACAAAATCGATTTTTATTAACGTGTAGTAGCATTAAAGCATCTTCCTGAAAGTTATTTATACCTATATATGTGTAGTAAAAATATAGAATGATATAGAATCAAAATATGTTTTATATACTAAGTCTTACAGAAAATATATTTTTTTCAATTTCTTATCTCAATTCTAAGAAAATGATTGAAATAAATTTAATTATTAAAAGCTTTTTCGTTTTAGTTAATTATTATATCTACGGATATAAAATATATATTTGATCAAAAATAATGTGTTAATAAATTATTGTCATTTTTAAACTTATAATCACACACAGATGATATTAACTTTTTTTCTTGTATTAATTCTTTTAAAAATTTATATTTTCATTAATCAAAGATTCATTTTACCATGACAATGTATTTTAGGAACTAATATTTCACTGTATACATTTAAAAATTTTTTTAAATATAGAACTATTACTTCTTTTAACGATATATCTTCCACATTTAATTTTGTGGAATAAAAGCATATAATGATTACAAAAATATAATTAAACAATTTTGCAAAGAAAGGAAATATTTAATAATTTTATTATTAAAATTGCGATATTTTTATGCAATATTTTTGAAATTATGTAATTTCGCAAAAATTTATTCTATATTTAACGGACCTTCTACATTTAGCGAATTTATTATAGAGAATCATTCTTAAGTACATAATCAAAAATATCGCAATCAACATAGTTTTCTATGTATAATTGTATCTCTTATTGTTAGAGCATCCCCATTATTTGAAGGCTACTCATTTTTAGCATGTTATATAATTCGATGAGTGGAAGCAAGTAAGGAATTTACTAACGATGGAAAGACAAGGAAAGTGGCTAAAGCAAGAGAATGAGGCAGAAAAGAAGTCGGAAGAAGCTATGATAAATTAAGCGAGTAATCGAGTGTGGCAATCAGATGAACGTGGGTGGATAGTGTAAGTATATACCGTGCGTGTGTTGAATGGGATGTGTTTTTACGTGTTTTTTTTCTTTTCAGAGTTTTGTCAAATTAAAGTATCTTAATTAAAGTATACGATATCTTAAGGGATGATTTAAGCAGAGAACTCAACCTCAACGAGGAATCATCCGTAATGATCCAAGCATGAAGCAACAAGATACAAAATTTTATTTATTGCATTTCTGAATAGTTTCTTTAGACTTTAGACAATTGTTATCTTTTTCGTCTCTTGCATCTCGCAATGAAATTTATAACAGATCGTCGCAACACAATTTGTTCATCCGTTGAATCTTTTCAGTAAAAAAATATACATTTCCACGAATGTACTTCTCACAATCAGTCAGATTATAAATCTACCTCCAGAGTCATCGCTCTCTTTTACACTGTTATTATTATCACATCATATTAAAATTCCACAAAAATGCATATTCTTGTTCCAAATTCCAGAAATTATTTTAATAATGTCGAATATTTTATTAATGCAAATAATCTCTATAAAAACTAAAGAGCAAAAATCTTTATTAAATTAATAAATTATTCGTGCATTTATTAGACAGATAATATTATTTAAAGTCATTATTATAAGTGTAATTAACAATGATATTAAGAAATCATCTTTCTTCACGCATTTCATCTGCATATACACGAGATTCGTACTTGCACACGATAAAGTCTTCAAAAGAGAGAGAAAGAGAAAGATGTGGAGCGTGGAGCACAGATCTCAGACCCTCCGCCAAGGTTGAGTACCAAGAACTGTTACAATGACGCATTAAATGCATTTAAGTAGCGAGGAAGTGGGGACTTAGTCGATTTAATGTTAGCCAGTGTGACTACTGGCTACTGACAGGTCAATAGTTGGGTGGAGCATTTCTCAGCGTAGCTGGAAACGCAGTCATCACCACACTTCGAATATATGTTGACAAATATTTCTTTACAGTGATTATAAAGTGTACGTGTCTACTAAATTGAGTACAATATATATAACACAAAAAGTAATTCGAAAATGGCTGAAGAATCCACCGTATCCACCCTCCTTACAAGATTGAAGGGACATCTTAAAGAAGCGCCGTTCTTTTGTAAAATTATCGAACTGGTAAGAATGTTATTGCGATCTCTTAAATAATAATATTTGATTAATATTATATCACACACGATGAAAATATTGTTTTAATCATTTAAAAAGAAAAATCTTAAAAAAATCTTTCTTTATATTTAAATAACTTTCTTCATATTTTGGAAATAACAAACTTTAAGATTTCATAAAAGTCACCATAAATTCTGTAATCATTTTACCGTTGCATCTATTTTATATATATATATATATATATATATATATATATATATAATCAATAATTATTATTAATAATATATTATTTCTTCTTTACTAACAATAAAAAACATATACTTTGTACACGCACAACGTTTATAGTATAATATTTAGTATCAAAAGATAAAAATTCAATTACAATATTCAATAAATATTTTTAAAAAATTAATTGCGAGTTTTGTTCTAGAAAATAATTTGTAAAAAGAATATATTTTTTAATAACAATCATATATTGAATGTTGTAGATTTTGTGCGTCATTGCGACGGGATTAGCGGTAGCACCCTTTCAAGACAATCAAATACGTCCAACTGATATACACCATATAGCGATATTTCATGTGGCAGTGTGCGGTTATATTCTTATAAACGCGATTCTTATCACGAGCCATTTATTAGGCGAACGAGTGCCGAAAAAAACGGTAAGTTAAAATACGAAATATTGCTACTATAATATCATTCACAAGTAAAAATAATTTATTTGACGGTAAATTCAACCTATAATATAGATAATTGTGAAAAACAGATATTTTTGTTCAGAAAAGAAAACAATTCAGAAATAATATTTTTCTCAATAAATCATATTATGTGAGAAAAATTTTAAATTATATATCGAGAATCAAAGAATTGAATTGCTCTTCAACAGAATATTAAAATGTATCAAACGAAATTCTATCGTCGCTGCTTCAATTTCTGAAATCCGAGCTTCCTATATGTTCGAATTATTTAAATTTGATCGAATCTAGAACGGCGTCATGTCGTCTGAAAATTCCATTGTTTCAACCTTTAGATAAAATGAAAAATCAAACACGAAGAGATTTATATTTCACTATATTCTCTTTCATATCTCTTAAAAGAAATAATTCTACTTTGAAAATTTAACTTCTTATCTTTCCACTAGTTTCATATTATACTCTGATCTGATAAATTTCTACGTGCACGAATAACTGTAACAATGCATACCGAATTGTACCAAGTGGATATATTTTTTTGTTTCGACAAGCCGCATACACTAAAAAATATGTAAAATTACATAAATAATAAGTATAAAACGTATACATTTTCATTATTTATCGTGTAATTTTACATTTATTATTTATGTATTTTTACATATTTTTATGTAATATATTACATATAATTTTTTGCGGTGTATACTATTTTTTTTTTATTTTTCAGGCTCTTATTTTTACGGCGATGGGGGCGATTCTGTGTTGCACTGCCGGCCTCATTCTAATTCGCGACTGGGACAATTTCTCAACTAATATAATTCACGCGTATCTGGAGGAGTACAGCGATCAAATGGTTGCAGCTGGTTCTTTCGCGGTCATAGCTGCAGCGGTATTCGCTGTAGATACGTACTTCACTAACAAATACGACTGATCATCCAGAGAATTAATTACGAGTATTACAAAAGCGAGAGTCAATCATGTCGCGTTTCCTATTCCATTTTCACAAAAATACATATTATTTCATTAACCATTGTTAGATGTTTTATATCAACTTTTTGCGAAAAAATATTCTTGGCTTCTTGCATACCTTTACTGGTATATCGTCATGTCGTAAATATAATAACAAACTGAATAAATATCGAACATAATGTCGATAAGTATATGTATGGAGACGCTATATTATTTTAGAATAACTGTATCCATTCCAATCAAGCAATGTTTGTAATTGCTCTTTATATATTATCAAGTATATTATTTGTAATTATATATTGTATATATACTATATTTTATATGGAACAATGCTTACAATAAATAATTGCTAGAGCAGTTGTGATTCTTATATATTTTCAATTTACGACATTGAAATTTGTATAAATTTCTAATACAATTTCAAATAGAAAAACTTTAAATAGCGTGTGTATGTCTTGAAAAATTTCTCTAGTTTCGTCTCTAATTTCTACGTTTCATGAAATTGTTCGTGTCGTAAATGCAAGCTGTGATTGGTAATCGAAATGACATTAACAGATATTGTTCCATATCATAAAAAAATTGCAAAAAGTTTTACATACAATAGCAGATATTACTGTTTTTATCAGAATTTTAGATAAGATAATATTTAATATGCAAATTAATATAAGAAAGAAAAAAAGATAAATTTAAAATTTAAATTTAAATAATTTTTCTTTACAAGTTCTGTAAAAATGTAGCTTTATACAGAATAAGATTTATAATTGAAGAATTAAATTTTATATATCACATAAAATTTCCATGTGTTAAAATCTATATCTGTTATTTTAATTATTAATCTTATATATGCGAAGTGTTGTTATAAATACATATGTAAAATTCTGATGGAATATTAAAGTAACGCGACTATTCTTATTTATTTACACATATTACTTCTAAGCGCGCTTAAAATTTAATCCTTGTAAATAAGAGAGAGAGCCTTTTCTATAAATATCTTAAAACAAGGGGATTGAGATCACAAATCGACCAAGTTTTTCGTTGAAAGAGCTTTTTTCCGGAGATGAAACCGCTTTCCGAGCTCCATAAAACTAAATCTTCAAGAAAAATCTACATAGTCAGGTTTTTTACGTCTGGCAGTAAGTCGCAGTAAAAAGTTTCTGTCTGCCTGCCTTATTTTCACAAGAAAGTCATCATTTGGCGGTTCCTGTCTATTTGTCGAAATCCAAAAAACGATTCGAGGAAGAATGCAGTTCCTTCCGAACGTCGCATCGTGACTTTCTCGTATTTTCTCCGCGTACGAAAGAGTATAGCAAATTCGACAAATTCCATTCGGTACTCTCAAAAGTGCGAGGAAAATGTGAAAGTTCATTCACCAACTATTCTACAGAGAAAAGTTCGATAAAAAAAATTCCGCTCCATAATGTAGAGTGAAAAAAGTTTGAAAAATGCACATGCACTAATCATTTCGTTTATTATCTCGTCTAAACCAGTAAAAAATTGCAATTTTCGTAATAATTAAGGAGGAATTATTAATTATTGCGAATTCACAAATATATATATATATATATATATATATATATATTTAATAAAATATGCACTTACAATTAATATAGAAGACAATCTTACTATTGTTTGCGCTTTTCTCGCTTTGTTCTCTTGCATTTTACTTTATAACTTTCGATAATGAACTTACAACTCAATGTATAATAACTCTACACAATAAATAAATAATTTTAAACAATCTCTCTTTTAAACAAATCAAAATATGGTTTTAATCTATTTCTTTATAAAAACTGTTTTGTGTTATGCATATATGTGTGCATATGACCGACCGTAATTAGGTGAGCGCCTTAGACTGTTATGTTCGCGCTGTAATTACGCGCGAAAAGCACGGAACACTACCAACACAACGGGCAGCGCAGATTAAAACGCAATTAAAATGGTACACGGTGACACTTTCGACGACAGACGACAAGTATTTTACATCGGGATGAGCGTGTCAGTTTGTCAAGGAGAGCGAATACAGCCGTTTGCAAAAACAACGAGCAGAGCGGAAAAGACCGAGACTTAACTTTGCCTGGAAACCGAAATAACGGCAATTAATGTCCGATTGAAATTACAGCCGAAAGATAATTAATATAATTTCGGAAGAGATGTTCATAAATTGTACATATCGCCTAGATATTCAAATAATTTTTATTGCTTGATTACTTTTGTTTACTCAACTTCCATGGCAATTATAAATTGCTGAGTTTTATCATTCCTCGTTATTATATAAATTATATGTAATAAATCATAATGGATAAAAGTTCATTGAATGACTTTGAATTATAAAGAAGATTTTAAATTTAAATAGAGTGATATTGCGAAATTTTGTGTTAGGTGTATAATATTTTATGCATGACATGACTAGGATAGAATTTAATGAAATCATTGTTTATAAACAGCAAAATGCATTAAATCTAAAATACAATTATTTTGCTCTTACATAAATATATTTTTATATACAATCTTGTCTTTAACTTTTAATAGAATATATAGATCGATGATAGTTCAATATCCTGAGAATTTGACTGACAATCATAAATTGCCTGACAGATCAAAGTAATTGTCCGATTGATTTCGAAATAATTATCTAAATCTAAAAACGAATTCATGATTATTTCTATGGGTACTATGTTTAATAGTATTAACGTAATTTATGATTGGTTTTGCTAATTTCAATTTTCTGCCTCTATCAATATTAGAAAAGAGCGAGAGCATAAATTCTAAATAATATTCAATTAATCTAATCCGTTTACAATTTAAATTATTTGCAATTAGTCTTAATGACTAGCATAATTTCGTTTACTGTATAGCATATATAACTTCAGTAACTTTAAATCAAATAATTAATCTATCGTTCACTATCATTGTGACTATAATTTAATAATAAATTCCTTAGCAAATTTTGAATTGTTCTTTTCGAAGAAAAATAGCAAAAATCATTATTTGCGTGAATTATAAATTATAAATAAAATGTAAGAAAAGAAAAAAGAATAATGATTGCAGCTGTTCACAATCTCACGTAACAATCAGATATTATACATAATATATGTACAGATTATTAAAGTATGACTATATTTAAATAGCCAAGGTTAAATCACTGCAAATAAACCACGATCACGAGAACATATCATAATGCGGAAATTTAACAAGGACAATTTTAAATACATGAAATCATTCTAAACATTATATACAGGCCATATTAAATTGGACAAATTTGCGAAATACTTCTTTCACAGTAAGAATTAATCGCGATATTCAGTGAATTATGTATGTACATTTCTAGACTTTTTAATCGAAATATCTCGATCGTATCTAACGATAAATAAATACAACTAACAATTTAGTTATCATAAACTCACCCTTTAAGAAACCCTTAAACGATCACTATATATTAATCGTACTCCGATACTGCCAATATTATAATAAAGGGTTAACGATAAGTACCGAAGAATGTAATTCGGAATGTAAAAAATATTATTAAATTGAAAGATACTAATTACTTGTCATACTTGCACTTTTACCGAAAATTCATAATACGATGATAGATCTAGCCGCTGCATTTATGTATACGACTCTATTAACTAATCAATCTTCTTTCACATTCAAAATTAAATACAAATTTCACATATAAAATGAGTTTCACACGATCGATAACAGTCTGTGTCAACGTAACACATATAACACGAAAGTAAGAATCGACATTACTTCCGAAATGACAATAAATATCGATCGATGTACTTAGGTCCTTAGGCACATTCCGCCGCATCTATTGCATCAGAAAGCATCCTGTCAGTCGCGCTAACCGGCATGCAACTTCGGATCATTTCACGCACGCACGCACACACTTCCTCTCGATCATCCCGCGGTTTTTATCGCGAGAAATTGCCGCGGAATCGGAGAAAAAAAATAAGACGACACGGCCCGATCACCCGTCCGTGCACCCATATCGCCGCTCGAACGCGGACTGACAGTCCGCCCTCGTGCGACGTCGCGGCGCGACCCTTTCGCGCCACCACCCCAACGCGACGACCGCACTGCTTCCTTTCCAGCACCCTGCCTTTCTTTCGTGTTCCCTCTCGTGTCACGTCGCCCGAGAGAACCGCGACTTTCCTCCGCATCCTTTCTAATCCGCCCTTTTTCTCCAGGAATCCCCTCTTGGCTCGCTCGCCTGGAAGGGGACCCACTTCCCTCATACGATCTCAACGATTTGCAACCAACTGCGCTGCGGTACTTTTTATGCCCTATAAAGTATTCACGCGTAAAAGTGAGACGAGTAAGAGTGGCTCTCTCTCTATCTTTCTCGTGCGCTTCGAATAAAAGGTATTCCTAAATTTTTTAACGTTTTGCATTTCCCGAATCGTAATGCATATCAGAGAATCCTTATAAGGAATTTATCTTCGAAACGTTTATAAGGATAGCTTTCTGATCAATTTTCTCGATTTCAAAGCTTAGTTGTATAAGGATATGGAATGTATACCTATAAAATTAATAAGCCATGAAAAAATGGTCTACGTCTGATCTACATTAAATATTCACGATGTTTTTCTACAGAAAAAAATCATCCCGAAGTTTTGCCCAACTAATACAAAGTCTGTATAACTATTCCAGTAGATACCGAAATAATATAAAAAGATGTAATAATTGTGACATTAAATATGTAACTGAAGTAACAAAATCAGAAATTATTCAAATATTCAAAATATGAGTTATTCATTGGAACATTTTTATAACGCCTTAAAATATGAGTTATTGGAACATTTTTATAATACTTTATTTAAATTTTTTCATTGTACACTGCAATTTCAAATATCGATTATAATATAATATCCTGATTTTACATTATATGTATCTGAATTATTCATAGGTTAAAAATTCTATAGCAAAATAATTCTGTGCATTTTTATCTGTTTACATTATTTAAAACTCTTGAAGTATATAACTTTAAAAAAATGCATACTCGAAATGGCAAAATTAATCTAGATAAAAAATTGCACACCCAAGGCGACTGAAGATAAATTTCAATGTAACATACATAGAATTAAAGAACGTTTGCCAGTCGTCGGAACTAGAAAGTTCAGTGATTTATTGATCTGTGTATCTTGAAACTTAAACGGAGATCAAACGGAAGACGGAAAAGCTCTCTTCTCACATACTTTCAATAATAATTTTTCAAGTTTATCGTCTCTCTTGTCGCGAAAGTATTTGACTATATCGGAATGGATGTGTTACGTTTTTACTGATATACAGACAATAATAAAATAAAAAGGAAAACTATTGGCTGATCTCTGAGAAGCTTATCTTCACTTTCTTTAAATTAAAAAGAATTACTAGAATTATCACAGTCAAATTCTCATCAAGTCTCACAAATCGAAAAATTTTCTTTCTGAATTCAACATACTATTGAGAGTTATGATTGTTTTCCCTACGAATTCTAACGATTATCCTTAAAATTATAAGTGATAAAAATCAAAATTGTAATAAATTATCGATCTTTTAAGCAAAATATTTTTTCGAATTTTTTCGCAATAAAAATAGACGACGATGCACAGCGAAAAAAAGTACAACGATCGATACACACTGCAAAATTTAAGATCTATGTGAATTTAACACCCGACTTTTTAAAAATTAATTTTCAATACAGAAAATGATAGCATTTTATTTGTAATTTTATCAATTAAAAAATAAAAATGATAAAAAATTGACTTGCACCCAATTGAAATAATCCGCTTACGCAGTCTTTTTTAAAATCCTTTGTAATTGTTTGTAATTTTACTTTCGTTTGTATAGTTGCACAGTTTAGAAATTGCAATTGTTTAAGTTTAAACAAATGGTCAAGAGAGTGAAGTTTTTCAATTTTAAAGATTTTCCAAATCTGCTTTTTCCACGTGATTCAGACACGTTTGTAGTTGTTTTGTTTGTAGACATATAAAATAGAATATAACATTTTATTTGATATTTAACAATAAATTGCATAATTCTTGTAAAAATAAAGGCTAGTGTTGAGAAACATTGAAATATGATCATAAACTAATAATAATCATCATTATTCAAGCGCATCGTAAAATATATAAAATTTGTAGGTATCTTATATTGACACGTTTTATACGTGTTTGAAATAATAAAACGTGTATTTATTTCTTTTGTACGCATGCAGATAATACAACTCATGCGAGAAAAAGAATAGCAAACATGTAGTTACAACAATTGTAGTACGTGCATGCACTCACAGTGCTTATAAAACAGTACGATTTATTTAGCTTTCGTATAAAACAAAAACTTTCCTCATTTGTAGTGCAAAAGATAAAAATACAAATAAAATGGAAGAAGAGTATACATAATTTAAATTTCATAAAAGCTGAGGCTTTTAGAAAATTCTATATTCGTTCAATTACACCATATCAGCATCTTTTTCATAATACATTAGCAGGCATATATATACGAGATACGTAAATACGATCATTGGACACAGGAAGAGGACGTGATGCAGCTGCAATTGCAGTATGCTAAGTTGCTAAGTGCACATATAGAACGAATCCTAATCTCGCACAGGTTGCTTCCGGCAAACGACATTTTCGTATATAGCTCCGGTGACACGCAAGTAATGAATGCACGAGCTTTTCTCAAACCTGGGTAAGGAAGCAACCCGATGGCAAGAGTATTTGCATGAAACTCCGCCCGATCAGGATCGGTTACATGGCCGAGTTGGATGTTTGCCAAAAGTATCCCCCGTGCAACATCATCCCTCGTGTGCTATCGCGCAATAGATTTTCTCAATAAAAAAAAGCGAACTAAGTACTTTACGGCTGCGCATTTTCCAGCTTGATATTTCTAAAATCGATATACTTCTATTATGTACGAAACCATCGAGTTCGTTATAGTATTTAAAAGCTTAAATCACTTATGTAGCACGTGCATATGCGTGGACGTCTCATGTTTCGCTGAAATATTGCTATACGTATGAAAATACCACTGAGAAGCCCTTTGGCGACGATTAAGTGAAAAGTTGTGGATTTTGACGTCTAGACCGAAGAGAACGAAGCCTTATTATTTTATATGTATATATGCATACATACACATACATACAAATAGACTGAAAAAAAATTTAATCAATTCGAATAAGTATTTATTTCAATACTGTCAAATGAATCACATATTTGAAAATAATAATATTTATTTGATATGAAAAATATTTATTTGATATAAGAAAATCCTTTTCAAAACAAATATTTATTTGTTTCAAATAAATTATTCATTTGGCAGTATTGAACCAAATATGTATTAATTTAGTCGTTTTTTCATATATATATATATATATATATGTACGTACGTATTTTATTTAAATAAACATACATGTATTTTAATGCAATGTTCGTTTATATAGTGTAAGGAATGTCTCCTTAATCACATTAAAAATCACATTCATATCAGTTAAATAATAGCGATTGCAGGCATTGAATAAAAAGCAAGATGTAAAAATGTTAGTTCAAAAAGGATACCAGGTATAATTAAGAGTGTAGGTTGATTAGAGGTGTTTAGGAATTCCTACATCCAAGATTTTAAAATTCCCAAATTTGCAAAAGTGGACGTACGAAATAACGGATGTAACAACGCAATTTTTACGCACAGAAGAAACAATTGACAATTGTAATCAAAACTGTACGAGCATGAATGTAAAAATAAATTAAACGAATCGCGACGCAGTTTTTAAAGCTGTTTTTTACACTTTACATTTAAACTTAACGAGAAAAATATGTGATTATAAATCGAAATGTTCTTGTATAAATGTCGCCATCATTCCTTTTATTTGATTAATTAATCAGATATCTTCAGCAAGTAAGCGACAAAAAATATTTATATATAATATATATACTATATAGAGTTTACATATTCTATATTATATATATATATATATATATATATATATATACATATATTAATTAAAAAAATAAAACAAAAATTTATTTTTACCAATATATGTATTTCGCAGAAACCCTGCAATGATGCAGTGAAGTGACAGTCAATTATTCTGTACTGAAATGCATTTAATTATTAATTATAATTGATAATATAATAATGTTATAAAAATATTATAAAAAGTAACATAATCTTGCATAAATAATTTTACAAAGAAATTTTCAAAAAAATTTTTGTTCTAAGAATACTTACATCTATTTCGTTATATATTTATAAAAAGATATTTCAATAGATAATATTTATCAGTTTATATATTTTATGCACATACAATTCGTGAATTGATAAATTATTTACTTATATAATTAACACATTGAATAATTATCATATTAAATAAAGTTAAAAAATTTATCAATTCACAAATTGTATGTGCATAAAATGTATAAACTGATAAATATTATCTATTCACAGAAAAAACAGTATCCTTGAGAGAATGCAAATATGCCTTGATTCATGTATATTTTATCCTTATAATAGCACCAAATATAAATAATTTTGGATAAAGGATAATTTATCCTTAAAACAAAGTGCAAAATATTCTTGGTTGAAGCTGAAATTTACTTATAAATATTGCAAGGACAAGTGACAAGTGTGCATCGGATATAAGCGGTACTTTCAAATAAATATAATAATTCTTAGTTCAAATGTGACTAAGTTTGTTTTTACCATATACGATTTTTAAAACAAGAATATATCTTAAGGATAAAATATACTTTACACAAACTTATTTATTATTAAGGCAAATGAAAATTTGTGATTACAAAGAGCATTCTATGCTTAAATCAATCAAATAGCGTTCAAGAATAAAAATATACTTGAATCAAGGATTCCTTTTTTTCTGTGTTGAAATATCTTTTTATAAATATGTAACGAAATAGATGTAAGTATTTTTAGAACAAAAAATGTTTTTGAAAATTTCTTTATAAAATTATTTATGCAAGGTTATGTTATTTTTTATAATATTTTTATAACATTATTACCTGTGTTATCAATTGTAATTAATAATTA